TAACCCGAATACCAAAACCGGCCTCGCATTGGATTTCTTCAATTTCTTAACCGAAAAACATACGGCGCACATGGCGATGTCTCTGGTAAATGGCTGCCATTGCTATGTGAATTTCTTCGGATCTAAGAGAAAACGTGAAGAATTCACTTGCCGTGGATCCACCAATCATCACAAGAATGTGCGCCCTGTGATCGTCCGGGCTTCCCGGAGTTACCGTGAGGAATCCGGTGCCGAAATTAGACGACCAGGCAATCTTTGCTCGCACTTAAAGTTATCCGGCCCGAGTGCTAACGCTTAGTTGTCTGCTAAAACACTGACTAAGAGATGCTTAAGAGAGATAGCCGACATGAAATTATCGCGAATACCAAAATTCAGAAAATGCACCGCTTTGTAGCTTCAACAGTAGCCTTATGTACCCTAAACCCTACAGTTTCGCGCTTAATATTGCAGGAGTTCCTGGCCCTGGAGAATCCCGAGCCGTGTGCTCGCAACAGACCGACTTGCGGGAGCTGAAACACAGCAGGGCGGTCAACACAATAAAATGCCAATATGCGAATGGCCATCACTAGTCCCAAAAAGCGCAATCGAATGTTCGCAGCTTCTGTATTCTGTTCTGTTCTACAAGTCTAATCTCCATAGCGCCCATTTATCGTCAAATAATCGCTTTACCAGGCTACCTCGTGGCAGTGCTATTTCCAAACCTAAGCATACCGGGATAAACTCCTTTAATTGCTTTTGCATCGCCCCACCACACGGTCAACTCTGTGCCTTCTACATAAACCCCCGGATGGAAGCAATATATCCATTGTCATACCGGCCACCCTGTGCCATGGCCGATCCACTCTCTGTCGCAGCCAGCATAACCGGCCTGCTGGCGGCGGCGGGAAAGGTCGCCACCGTCCTCTACATGTTCGCCGAGGCGCCGGCGCTATCCCAGCGGGTGATGCGGGAAGTCCACGACATCGGCATTTTGCTACGACAGCTCCACAGCCTTATCAACTGTTCCAAGTCGCAGCAGTCGCTCATTATGGTCGAAGATTTATTGGCGCTATTAACAAGCTTGGTTTTAACATTTTCGGAATTGGAGAAATTGGTGGGTGGAGTAGGGAGTCATGGTTTGGTGGATCGGGGGAAATGGGCGCTCATGGAACCCGAGCTTGAGAAATTGTTACTCAGACTCCAAAGCCAGAAGTCTTCGTTAACTCTTATGTTGTCTGTGTTGCAATGGTAAGTTTGGATCCAAACGTCGATCAGGATGATTACTAATAAGGGGTCCGACAGCCGAACGGTACAAGAAGCGTACGATGGCATTGAAGCTTTGTCAAACGCCATGGACCGACTCTTGAAAACCACCGACGACATTAGGAGGCGGTTGCAGTCGATACAAGCATCCGGTATTCCAGGTGTTGGTACTCATGCCAGCCGCGCCCGTAGTTCGTCGACGTCGTCAATCAAATCGTTTAACTCCATCCTACGAAAAACAAGAGTTTACCTCCGCGCTGATGATTGGAACTCTGTTCATTCTTATTCTTCTGAAAAGCGTAGTGGGAGATGGTCTGTTCTGTCGGGTGTGAGTTGGTGTAAGATCTCAAATATTTCCGTGCTTGGATTACCAGTGTACGCGCATGAAATACACAACAACTACCACTATTGTCCCCCAATACCATCCCCCGATTTAAGTGATCTCGGCGGAACAGAGCGTTGGATAAAGTTTCTCGAAGAGAAATATGGGAAGTTGGCGATCCATGGGAGGTTCGATGTATTGGGGTTGGAAGGCTTTCAACAGCAAGAAACCCAAAATGTAAGCGTGACTGCAAAATTCACATGTACCGAGCTAATCTTACTGCAATAGCTTTATATATATTTATTCGAGGACATGCTATTGTTTTCAAAGCAAGGATTTCCGGGTATTCCGTATCGGTTTATTCCAGCGAAAGACATCCATATCGTTAAAGACGGTTATGCATGTAAGTATTGATTTGATGCACCGTAACCGTAAGGCATGAAGCTAACAGATGGAGTAGGGGAGTATGAAAACTGCGTTAAGATTTTACACGACGTAGTAGAGCCCGGCGCCGTAACGCAAGCCAAGTGCGACATCATCATCCGGGACGAAGAAGCACGGCGAGCATGGCTACCTTTGCTCAAGAATCTTGGCGATAGAGGATGGAACGCACGGAAACGAGCCAAAACAGCTTGAGTACACGACTATTCCCCCGATTTCTTCAACTATTTTATGCTTCCGAAGCTTCTTGGAGCGATCCTGTATCTCTTTTATCCTGTACATTTTTGGTATTTTTATTCGGAGGCATCAACTAGGGTTTACATTTTATTAAACAATTGTTTTCAGCGATCTTTTCGTTTCCGTTCGACCGGTATTAGATAGATTTCAACATAAGATCTTAACGGCCCTCATTTTATGCAAGCAACATGCATCGTACATTGAGACGATCCTGCGACTGTTGGACTTCTCCGATTTCAGACCTCAACTTTAGGACGATCGGGGCCCAACGATGGGGCCATAAGCGATGGAGTGTTGATGAATCAGACATTCTTCACACTGACCCCGCACGAAAACGACCAGTAAAACGCAGGGCAACCTTCAATATCCCCGCACTCATCTGACGGAGTTCGTATCGCGAGTAATTAGAATTCGTGGGGTGCATCGACATCGAGTGCACTTAGCGTATCGGATGATTTGCCGTGACGCCTCTGGAGAACAAGCACCGTAGCCGACAGTGGAAGTTCGTATGGAAAAACTAATAGAAGGATGTCAAATAACTGCTGACCGGGATTATCTAAGCGATGTCATGCGGCAGTATCGGAAATGACTTGAAAATTGCGAGCACCGGTAGATCCCCGAACAGAGCAGTTTTCTTCATGTCGGCGAAACAGCCGGCGAAACATGTCTCATACGATGATTCTGGAAAGCTTGGCCTGAGCTGGAAATTCAGAGGCGATGGCGAAGATCAATTGTGTGGAGAAGTATGTAAAATATAAAAAAACGGACTGAACTCAAGCTTTACCAGTGCGGTGGCTAAGGGTTCCGGAAACTTACCGGAGACTTGGAGTGGCGTAGGTCATCGACAAGCGCACAGAGAAACAAAACGGTCTGTGTGTCATCTCCCTGCACCCCACTTCGGCAGCTAGCGATCTCAACTGTTCCTACAAGCTCCGATCCCACAAAACTAGTTAAGGTTAATTTCTGTTATCGTTCTTATGGTTCATCTAAAATGCGCACATCAGTTTCGGCATCCATGATGACCTCCTTCGCGTACGGTTATGGTGACTCGCGATCGTGAGCGGACGAAGAGTAGACATGCATAACATCGAATATGCAAACTCGCGCATGTTATGACGTTTTTCAGATAGTAGAGACGAAGCGAGATATGAGCCTACGTCTTCCAATTACTCACTGAACGAGAGAATTAAGTGTCTGAAGCGGAATACCTTTTCAGCCCGCAATGAGGTGACGATGGAGTGACGGTGAATTCCAGAGAAACAAACACCGAACGAAGCAAGCAAATTTGGAGTTCCGCGGATGGGTTTATCCCTAGAAATGGAAGACGTTTCGCCCCGCGCAGAGTAGACGCTGTTACGCCAAGGCGGTTGGAAGAAGCACAAAGCCCAGCCCAACTCAGTAGTAAGCTATTCGGAATGGCGGGAGATCCTCCAAATAACTTCAAGATCTCGGACGAGGAGCACCACAACCGCCAAAGAGCATCGGCATCTTAGCTGCATTCCAAACTATGAAGCCTGAAGAATAGGGATCTCGAGACACCAGGACATCACGGCCAAGACTGCGGATATGGTAAACCATAGGCATGATCGAAACGCTGGAGGATCTGGAGAACTTCACGAAGTCTCACAGAAACGAAGCATCAAATAGAATTGTATATAAACTAACTTGATTCCGCTCCGGAACTCATCATCAGCCCACAATCATCATCATCATCATCACCATTGTCACCTTCTTCTTCTTGCCTCAACTATCTTTGATCTTCTTCAAGATGCTTCTCTACGCTCTCCTCGCTCTCTTCCCCGTCCTCTCACTCGCCATCCCCGGTACCGGGTGTACATCCATCGGTATAATCACCGCCCGGGCCAGCACCGAGCTCCCCGGCGAAGGCGTCATTGGCTCCCTCGCCCAGCTGATCCAAACCCGCTCTCGTCAAACCGTCTCCCGAGCAAACGTGGACTACCCCGCTTTGCTTTTCCCCTACGGCACTTCCTCTGCCGCCGGAACCGCTGCATTGAAGACTCAACTGACCGAAGCCGTTCGTCGCTGCCCCGACCAGGGCATCGTTCTTCTGGGTTACTCCCAAGGTGCTCACGTTGTCGGCGATGTCCTTGGCGGAGGAGGCGGAACGGGGCTGGGACTAAAGACACCTCCTGTCAGCACAGATGTTTCGAAGAAAGGTGAGCTTGACCAAGCCACTCAGATCCAATAAGTCCGAGGATTAGTGCTGACTATGATGTAGTGAAGGCGTTTGTGCTTATGGGGGATCCGAGACATCGCGCCGAACAGAGTTTTAATGCGGGAACGGCGAAGCGGAATGGGTTGTTCCCGAGAGAGGCTGACCAGAGTTTGGAGGGGTTTGCGTCCTCGGGCGTGAGCTACTGCGACACTGGAGATACCTTCTGTGACTCAGGGATTGATACGGTTACGCATTTGGCTTATACGGCGAAGTATAACGATAAGGCGCTGCAGTTTGTGTTGGATAGGATCGGGGGTTAGATGCAATCGATAGTGGATGGATGCGGAGATGGAGAAGGGATGGTGATTGATGCGATATGCGAGGATGGAGGAGATCTGAGATTATTTTGTCAGGAAAATAGGGAGGGTTTAGGATAGGTTTACAGCCTGGAACTGTTGATAAAAAATGCACCTGCCGGTGCTTGGTGGACCTCTGCGCCGGTGACATGTTGTGAACGGTGATAAATAAGCTGTGCACATAAGCAGTATGAGTAGCTGTAGGTCAACTATCCATCATCTAACAGCTGATATGGCCGAGTGGTTAAGGCGGTGGACTTAAGTATCGCTTAAGTTACCCACTATCGAAAGATTCAGGAGTTCGAACCTCCTTGTCAGCATTATTCTTTTTCTTTACTGAATTCCCGGTCAACTCATGCACTGATCAAATGCATTAGAAACTTGTTTGTGAGATGCATATCACGTGTAATTTTATGTCAGGTTTCTAATCGAGTATGCATCATGATACAGGCGCACCTATTGCTCATATGGTGTATATTGGTTATAGATAGGATGCTTGGCAAGCAAAAACCCTAACCCACGACCACCTAGTGGTCGCTTCCATCACCTTTTTGAACCCCGCCACAGTCTCTTCCACACCATTTTGAACCACCTCCACAGTAAACTACCAGAAAATACTACTGTAAATAATGATATAACTTCGCGCGCAATTTATCTATAGAGAGAAGACAGTTAGCTCTGACTTTGTGCGTAGTCTTCATTGATCACCTTAAAAGCCAGAGTCCTAGCTGAGTGTTAGATCTACGGGTTCCGGGTGGATGAATCTAGTGATTTCTGTCTGCACTGGTTTGTTGAACTCATCTTCAAGCTTGAGCTTATGGAGCTCACAGTTTGGCATTGGTGTTGTTAGCTCTAGTGAAGTGGCCATGCCTTATTGCCAGATTTCCTTGTCTTTTCCTACATTAGTCTGTGGCTTCCTTTACTGTCTGCATACATTGTAAACACTCCACTATAGTATATATCATCTGGCCTTCCTGGGGCCTCTAATAGGATTCAGCATCCATGTCTGTCTCACTGCATGATTTAGTCTCATCATATCATGCTAGTTGAAGGGTTATCTTTAGCTGACATTCCCTGCATTGTCAGCTGCCTCAGGGCCATTTCACCATGTATCAGTCAGTGATGCCTATTGATAATACTTATCTCCTTCAGGTAACTAAACTTCACTAGGGTATATTCATTCATTTGTTGATGTTTAGTGTTGCTCATTTAGGATTCCCAATCATCTCTACTGAGCTTCCTTGGTAACATATTATACTCAATTAGACTTGGCATTCTGCCATAACATTCATTCAATTCATTCTTAAATGTCTGTCATGATTTCTCCAGTCCATTGATCCCTCATCCTTATCATCAACATTGAATACATCCTTGCCTTTGATGCCCTGTTCTCAACTCAGGTACATCTCTTTTCATTCAACCTTGCTTATGTCCAGTAGTGTATTGCCCTTCTATACTACATGTATTTCTTCTTACTCATGTATCATGACCTTTTACTCTATTCTATGAATGTCTTTCTACCTTCATTGGTATATGTTTCTTCTGTCCCAGCACCTTCAATGTCTGCCTGTTGGGGTGGTCCTGTGTGACATAGAACAACATATAAATATGCTAAAGGGTAGTCCTGCTCTGACTGTAGCTAGCAAGGACCACACAGGCCATTGCAGAGGGGTTACTATCATATGCAGTCTGCCCTGTTCTCAGAGATTCCACTAAGACATTCCTGAGTTAGGGCCTAAGGTTCTTATTATTCCAGGTTTTGCTTAGTCAGTTACTGATAACCATGAGTGTCTCCCACAACAGGTACCAGTAGCCTGACAAGATTAGTGGGTAACACCTATCATAACTGACTATTCTTTTTCCTGGCCCCTAAATATCTCACTTCCTTTGGGAAGTGGATGAAGGGTGGCCTATAATGGCTCTTGTCTTGTGACTTGAGTCATTACTTGCAAGAACTCTTATTCTTTTAACTCATCTTGTAGGAGTGGTATGACAGCACTAGTGAGGTAGAAGACTCCCTCTTGCAATAGAATGTGATGGAAGGGTTCTAACTACAATTGAAGCAGGAGCCAAAGTTACTGCCTTCTATTGTATAACTCATGTGAGTCATGATAGTCTTTTCAGAGGTTTAAGAGATGGCCATGCTGCTTTTGGAGGTTGATGAAGTGGCCACATTGTTTTCTGAGGCTGAGGACAAGGTTGAAGAGATAGTTGGCAAGAATGTGGGCATGCAATTAATATCATCATTCTAAATGCTCAAATTCTCAATGACATCGACATCATTTCTGCTCAATGTAGAGAGTTCCTGCACATGACAATCAGTGATGACCTTCACCCTACCTGCCCTATGCAGTGGTGCTGTTTTGATCTTGTTCAGCTCAGCACCCCAAGTTTGCTGAATTTGTCTTCAAGTCATGTTGATGATTCTTTGCACTACCATAGATATTTGCTGCATTTGGCTTCATTCCATGTACATTGTTGCTCATGGAATGGGAAGCTGCAGATGCTGAGGCTGAACTTTCTATCTGCTGATCACTATAGTATGGCATCTTCAGAGGTTGATGGCAATAGTGGAAATTGTGGAATTCTTGATGATGTTGAGGAGATTAAAGGTGCATGAGTACCATTCCTGCAGATCACCATGGGCGATAAGCATTGCCCCACTTTGGAACTTTGCCCTATGCAGTGAAGCTGTGTTGATCATCGTCACACCACCTCAGAAATCGCGTGGATTTGGCTTCAAGTCATGTCGATCACAATGACCCCACGAAACAGAATTCTCCGGATTCAGCTCGAAGCCATGTTGATCATAATTAGCCTATGATAGAAATTCACCGCATTTAGCTTCATTCCATGCACGTGCTTCTCCAACCAATGGGATGATACAGATGCTAAGGCTGAATTTGCTAAGATATTCAAGCCTATGTGATGATTTGGCCACCCTCCTGGACTCGCACTTCACATGCACTTGAATATTACGAAATTATCATGATTGTTCTTGCGATTGCTGGCGATGCAAGCAGGGCCTCGATTTCTGTTGTTGAGACTGCTGCTGATGCAAGAAGAGATTGACCATCTGTTGGGTAAGTCAACCCATTGCCACTATTTCTCCGTTCATAACATCACACTCATTGGTGGTATTTGTACGTTCGAAAACACTCAACATGCCATCAACATCCGAATGCTCCTTCTATGGGAAGTGCTACAAATGATTAGGGCACTACATCAATCACCTATGCAATATCCATCCAGACAGGGTCAGGACAGTACCCTTGCTGCAGGTCGATAGCCAATCGTATGCACACGAAGGGCACCATGTCCTTCTCGAAAACGTCAACCAATCGAGTTTCATCCCCAGCGATGATGACAAGGAGCAGGCCGAAGAGGTAGAGGAGCAGGAACGCTCTGAGGCATTGGATGCGAATGCGAAGGAGGTATGTTTACATCGCGATCGGTTGGGAAAGAGAAAGTACTAATATGGCGGGCAGAACGGGCCAGTTATCCACAATGACCGCCGTCAAAGCGTCACACCTCCGGGAAGGATCACACTCACCCACACGAGCCAGGGAAAACCTACCATGAATTAGCGCTTCTATAGATGGACCTTGAGCAACGTGAAAGCCTGTGGGCCCCATTCGAGAATGAACGCCAGTTCAACTTTGCCCAGGACATCACCGAAGGGCGGGCAACGAAGACTCTAGCAGACCGGCTGCTGAAGCCCAACACTCCATGGGGTTCGGAAGGTCCACCTTTCTGATCACCAGATCACCTCTACAAGATGCTGGAAGACATGTCCCAAGAGATGGGATTCAAATCCTGGCGGTGGGGAAGTGTTTACTTCACTCTAGCGCAGGGCGCGGAAGAAGGCACTTCAAAGTCCAACAAGAAGAATGTACGCTTCTGGCACACGGATCCAATCTCCAGTATTGAATTCCTACTGTGACAGGAATCGTACCAGGAGCACTTGCATTACGAGCCCATCAAACATGTCAACGAGAATGACGAGAGAGTGTATTCCAAGATGTATATGATGGATTGGTGGTCATGTCAGCAGGTCAGTTGATCCATCGCTGCATGCAAGGGACAATCTCTAACGCTACAAAGTTGAAAAAACCTGCGGGAAGCATGATCGTACCTGTCATTGGTAGTTGCGATCAAACCCATACAACCAACTACGCCAGAGATGGGAGATTGTGGCCCGTGTATATCAGTTTGGGCAACATCGACACCTCCTTCCAGTGCAAGAAGAGCGATGAATATTGCATTCTCTTGGCCCTGTTACCGGTTCCTCCCAAATACACCTTCAAGGGCAAAGGCAGTACTGCGGCTCTCAAACTCCAACAGGAATACACGCAGACGCAGCGGCGGGTGTAGGAGATGATCTTCAAGCCTTTGAAGGACGGTGCAGAGAATGAGCAGTTCATGCGGGGCGCCGATGGACAGATCAGCAAATGCTTTCCAGTAGTCAATGCTTGGATAGATGACTATATGGAGAATGTTGGATCACACTCAATAACATCACTCCACTGTCCGGTATGTGATTCCGGGGCCTACAATGAGCAGCTTGTCAAAGCCATAAATAACTGAAATGGATACACCGAGTTGGAAGCGGAGGCGACCAAGGAGTGGCTCGAGGACCATCATGCCAAACTACAGGAGGGAGTGTTTTGGGCGTTGAAGCGTGTCGACCATTGGACACTCATCATCCCTGACCTCTTGCACACGATTCACCTCGGCCTGTTCCTGCACATGATGGAATGGCTGGTGGGCTTCCTGGAGGAACACAACCGCATCCATGGGTTCAACGACCGATGTGTTCGCAGAGCTCACTATCCCGGGGGACTTTACGCGCTTCACGAATCCATATACTCCTTTGGCGCAGTGGCCAGGAAACGACCTGCGCTCCCTACAACGAACAATTCTACCGATACTGGCGGCGGCATTCAAGAAACCCACACCGGCGCAGAAGGTGCCACCCCGACAGGCTCTTCTCGGTGTCAAGTATTTGGTCGGGTTTCAATTGATGGCGAAGTATGGGAATCACACATCTGAAATGCTCCATGACATGTCCATCTATCCGAAACGGTTCTGTCAGCACATCAAGGTCTTCCAGCACCTCCGGGCAGGAAAGGCAGTGAAAAAGATGGCAGAGGGACTATGGAATCCTATGCAGGAGGAGAAACGCCTGGCATGATAGCAGGAGGCCGAATGGGGGGGGGGGGTTCAAGGACCAGTGCGAAATGACGGAGGATTAAGCAGGATGATGAGGTCGTGGCACAGCATGTCTGGGAGGTAGTCATCGATCAGTCAACTTCAACTT